TTAATTATATATTATAATATAACTAATAGTAATAGGTTTTTTTATTAATTATAAGAGTATTTTATCCTAAAGTATAGGTATTTTTTAGAACTAAATTTTATTATTATTATAGATAACCTCTCTTATTATTATATACCTAAAGTTAAGGATTTATATTAAGTATTAAGTATTAATCTTAAGTTTCTACCTCTATATTTACTAAACTTTAACTTTATTAAAGAGTATTTTAGTAATCTAAAGTAATATATTAAGAAAATATATTTAAAGTAGAATAATAATAAGAATAATACTTAAGATTTTATAGAATATCTATATAACTATACTATAGAGATTAAGTATTATTTACCTCAGATTAAAAGCTATTTCTACTATTTATTTATTAACTTTAATAGGATAGAGTATATATTTAATAATATTAAACTATAAAAGGGAGGATAAGCTATAAATATTAAATATTAATAAGTAATCTAAATCTTTATTATATAATTATAATAGATCTTAATTATATTATTATATAGTAGGAAATTATTAGATCTATAATTATAGCTAGTAAGATTACAAAAAGTTCAGCTATAAGCGTATAAGAACATAGAAAATATATTATTATCTATTATTTTTATTAGTAGCTATATATATATATCAATTTTACCTATATAGTAGCTGAAATATATTATTAATACTTATAGCGATAATTTATAATAATAATATATCACTATAGTTAGAGACTTTAATTATAGTTAGAGACTTTAACTATATTAAACTAAGAAGTATTAAGATAGATTATCTTATTTATAGATCTAAAATCACAGTAATTCTATAGCTTTTATATATATATAGTAGTAGTGTTAAATCTATAGCTATAAGTAGACTTTTCTATAGTTAAATATATTATATAAGAAAATCATATATATAGTTAAACTTCATATTACTCTTACTATATTACTCTTCTTCTTTATCCTCCTCTAAGTAATATATCTCTATTAATAATATATTACTTAAGATTTTAATCTAATTATTTTTACTACCTTACTTAATTTTATCTTATTTAATTTATAACTATATAAATAGTATTCATAATACTAATAGTAGTAGTAATAAAATAAAACTAAAAAGTTCTAAAATATTTATAAAGTTAGCTATATTTAATAGTAAATAGCTTTATATATATTTATTATACT